AGGGAGGGACAAAAGTGAGTAAAAGATGTGGCGCTGCCCCGGCACTGGTGAGCCTGTGTGGGACCAGCCCTTTGCGCCAGGAAGACAAGCAATAAACGCACCACGGCCAGAGCAGAGCCGTGCGAGGCCTGGCACCCCTGGTGGAACGTTTCTGGGGTGTAGGCAAGCACACACACACTAGCAGCTCTATGGAAAAGCCACCTACGTGTCTGGCCTGACACCAGGGCCAGAGAGAATTCAAGGCCTCAGTCCCTCATAGGGGCCGGGCAGGGAGCCAGCCAAGGGCAGAGGAAGTTGAGAAAAGGGCGAGAACAACTCGGAATTCAGCTGCCCTGGCACAGTCCGCCCACAGGGCTCCCGTGGGGAATAAAGAGAAACCCCACCCAGAGTCCAGGTTCGCCGCTCCCAAGGCCACACGTAGGTCTGCCTGCCCGTGGCCAAGCACACAATGGCCGCGTTACAGAGAGATGGGCTGGCTTCTTACTTGTGGAGTCAACTTGGACTGTACGTGCTGAAGCAGTGAAACATTGGGCTTTTGGGGGTTTTTTTTTTTCCTTTCCCAAATATATACCTTCATTAGCTTGGGGTAAACCTGGGAATGGTTTCAAGATGTTGTTCTTAACAGTCTGATACTTTCTGGGATAGCAGTCGTGTGTGTCATCCAGCGTTTGCAGATGACACATGGACGGCTTTGCTGTTGTTAGAGGCGTCAAGGCGAATCGGTTCAGACTCAGAGCCCTAGTAGAACAACGTCCTGCGCCAGCCCCACCATAGTCATGCAGGAGCCCGTCATTTTGGTCATGGTGCCAGTCCGTCTTTGTCCAGGGTCTTTCATTGTGGCTGCCCCATCTGCTTTACCCACCGGGATGTCCTTCTCCAGGGACTGATCTCTCCTGACATGTCCAAAGCACGTGGCTGGGAGATCACGAGCGGTATTTTTCCTGACTCATTGTTAACACAAGTGCTCAGGCGAAGGCCCTGGGGGTTGGGGGGAAGTGGAGGGAGGGCTGCAGTGGGAACTCCCCTGTCCCTGGGATTGCTGTGTTTCCTGGCAGGGCGCCTGGCTTGACTTGCCACTACTTAGCAACAGC